AAGCTGTAAGAGAAAATTCCAATTAGTAGAGAAATTAATTTGAAAAATTACCTTGACGTTTCGATAGCTATTTTCTGCTATCGTTATCAAAAGAAGTTTGTAAAAAATGAATCCTCCTCAACAATATAGAACTTATCTATCATAGCACTTACCGTTAATTCAACAGATCTAAATATGATAAATATATTTCTGTTCTTCTGTTTTCCATCGCAAAACACTAATTTATGTCTGCACACTTCTTCTTTGGCGGGTCTCCATGTTACTTCCAATAGACGATTAGTTCCTTTTTGAAGCTTGCATTCACTCCAGCTTAGAACCACGTCCATTTCATCTGGCATATGTTTTTCTATAAGCAGCTAATTAAAACCATACAAATTAGATGAAATGGAAAGTACATTCAAATCTACAAGTTCTATCGAAAAGTTTAATCAACATCGTTGCAGATATTCAATATTAATTCAATATGGTTACGAGTCCATACCGACGCACAGATTAAAATATGTATTTATAAAAAATTGCCCTCCCCTGTAGAGTGAACGTGATGTAAAAATTGTCAGGGGTTTTGATTAGAAAAAAACACGAAGAAACAATTCGTGATTCGTGAACACAACACAACACTGGAAGCGGCTGGCGACACAATTAAAAATAAGCAAGTGTACTGGGTTCATAATGCAGGTTTGTTTGAATTCTTTAATTCTCAGCCACCAGAGCGCGCCACTTTAGCGACACACTTTCAACAAGTTTAAAAGTCGTTTCTATATAAGCCTTGTTCTATGCTTGTAACCTATAAGAAGTAAATAAACATTCTGTTATACATAGGTAGAAAAATGCACTCTAAGTGTAGAGGGGCTCTTTATCCTTTGAGCAACATCAAACGATTGCCCTTTCCAGACGAACTAGTTCCATGGCTGGTGGAATTCAAAAATTACGATCCCCCCGAATATGAGTCTAAAGTGCTAATAAATAAGCCTTGGGCAGACCCTCCTATATGTAAGCGCCTATTTTCCACTTGAAGCCAGCCTCTTCTTAATGTCTCCCGGTTGGAAAGTACAGGTGATTCACGATTTTCACCGAAATGGAACCAGTTGGATGGAAGCATCAACCGCAAAAGCCACACAGGCTTATATGAGGTAAAGAACCAACGGCCCTTAAACCCTGCAGGTAGAACAGGGCTCAAAGGGCGTGGCGTCCTGGGAAAATGGGGCCCCAACCATGCAGCCGACCCCATTGTGACTAGATGGAAATTAGGTGAAAACCAAGAGAAAATGTTGAATGGATTGCTAAAAAAGTAAGCAGCAAAGTCTAGGACAAGTCTTACACCATTTTGAGGCCGATTTTGCAGTTTTGCGCCATCCAAAGACGGGACTGTGGGCAATGGGCACTACCTGGAGGCATGGTAGATCCAGGGGAGCAAGTCAGTGAAACTCTTAAAAGGGAGTTCATGGAAGAAGCCCTAAATAGTCTCGAAGTTTCTAAAGGTTGCTAATACAACTAGCTCATAATTTGCTTAACAGTCTGTTCCAACAAGTCAAATTATTATTTTTCTATTAAAACATTGTCCTATACAGAGCAGTACAAGCGCGATGAAGAAATGCTCAAATCGTTCTTTGCAAATGGCACAGAAATATACAAAGGATATGTGGATGATCCCAGAAACACGGATAATGCTTGGATGGAAACTGTTGCCATGAATTTCCATGATGATGATGGAAAGCATGTGGGAAAATTCAACTTAAAAGCTGGAGATGATGCTGCTAACGTCCAGTGGATGGACGTAAGTAACTGCCTGGATTTATATGCGAGTCACTCACTACTGTTAAAGAGCGTTGCGGAGCATTTAGGGGCCCACTGGGCATGAGAAAAGTGAAACAGCCACGTTAAAAAAATGTTATAATATATGACATAATATATTATTACATGTTTACATTAATATGTACAAAACTGTATATAATAACTATAAATTACAAAAAATAAGTCATTCAATCAATTGCCCGCTTGGTGTTTTGTACTATGATATGCGTAACATTTATCTTTCAATCTTGACGACTCTCATATAAACAATAAATACATTGCCCATAAAGCGCGGGTATTTAGAATTGATTATCCTGCACACCTTTCGGAAAGACAACAACTATTCTGGCACTAATAAAGTACAATGATTTACAGTCTATTCTCCAATTTAATAACATCAATAAATAATTAAGTTACTGACTAGATACCTAAAACACAATTTCAATCAATCATATTTTGGGTATCAATTTTAACTTCCTGTAAATTAAATATGCTTTATTAAATACAATATTTTCCCTACACCCAATCAATATAGCACGATGGAAATATTTTATAAACTGTATAATAAAACTAATCGAGAGAAGTGTTAACTATACTGAGGACGAGGTCTCAGGGCAAAGTGCCACATTTTTACTATACTATGTGTGTGTAAACACAATTTAATAATATATGTTTCATAAATTATAAATGTTGAAACGATTCTCATGAACACGCTTTAAAAGTAGTTTTCACTGAAAAAAATTACGACGGAAAATAATTAGTAAAAACTAATTTGTGTTTGTTAATTCAGTAATTGATGAAATTCCTGCATTTTTATTTAAGTACTTAAATCGGCATGAACTACATCACCACTTTTCGCTTTTAGGGGATTTTTAATTTGAATAGACTTATCGATCTAATGTCAATTTGTAGAGAAGGATCTAACTGATTTTCAAAAAGTTTTCAATAGCAGCCAAACATTCTTGAAAGCAGAAATCAAACAACAAAAATACTTGAAGATTGATAACGAATTAATTCTGTTCCAAGCTGAGTGAGTCAGTCGATGATTTGATAAAATTAAGAAATGAGTTAATAAAATTAAAGAAAACCAAGTGAAAGCTTTAACGAAGGACCCTGACTGAAGACACGATAACACATAAAATTGACAACCAAGAGAAGGAAGCTGGAAATAAGCCGCATGTGCAGACAAAAAAAATGTAAAAAATAACTCTCTGAAACATGCATGCCGGACTTTTGCAACAAAGTTTTCATTTGTCTGGCTTTTCGGGCAAGTAAAGTAGGAAAAAAACTTGAGCATGGAATAAAAGTGTCTTCAAAGAACAGCGTAGCAAAAAGATCAAAACATTTAAACTAGACTAAAATAAGAACAAATAATAATCTCTATTTCTGAGTTGTTCCGAAACTATTTAGGGCAAACAATGATCAGTAAGTTTTCATAACTCCTCAAAAATGGTGGATTTTGAAACGTTGTATAAAACTTGCATAAACATGCTGAAATATACACATTCTAATACTTACAATAAACAAATGGCAGTTGTTCGTGTAAATTCCCTAGTTTAGTAAACGTTCATCTGGTTATAACTTATAACGGCAAGATGGGATTTGTTTCCCAATACAACGATAGCTACGCGAAATTACCCTAACTGTTATTAAATACGCAACAAACAATTTGCTCGTTGACTTCTCATTTAGTTATTACTTTCCTAATGTTACAATACCCTCATCCAGAAGATCGTCATCGCCCAGACAACTGGAACTGCGGCTTGACGCCCTAGAATTGACTATGTGGACACTAACGGACGGTGAGTGCGGAAAAGTGGGCGTTTTGCTGAAATCTAAGGCCTCTGTATCGATAGTGGTCGTAGGCGCGTACTTTGAGGCCAACGTTAGACTATGTAGGGCTTCACTGGCCGATGGATACGGATTGAGCGGATCCGTAGTGAGGAACAGATCATCGGTACCTAAATTTAATTGAAAACAACTCTATATTCATACGGCTCATAAATATGATGATGCGCAAATACATTAGGGAATGTTCTAAAAGGAGGTCTTTTCAACCAACTTTTTTCACTTAGTTACTTCCCGAAAATAATCAGACTTGAAAATGACCAACATTTTTTTTTAAACTTGGAGATAATGGCACAGTGTTTTTTTTTTACTAAAATTAGACTCAAACGTGACGCCACCTTTTCGCTCATACCTAAAGAACCACTTGGGCTAGCAAACACATTCTTACAGCTCTGGATGGCGAACTAACACTTTTACAATGTAAAATACCCGCTAGTAATCATGACGGTTTTCACAGAAGAGGGCGGTTTGTAAAATATTAGGGTGGCGGTTCGAATATCAAATAGCAAATTATTCATTAATGGGTGCTAATCAAGGACTTTAACAACTCTCCTTGGCTTATGCTCACCTTAAAGGACATTATTGAAAATCGATTATTTCTGCAGGAATGACCCAACTCAACCATTTCCTAAATACGCCCGTAAGCTATTTGCCCATCCTCATAAAACCTGCTGTATAATCTTGCAAAACCATCAATCATTAATAAGCGCATGCTAACGTTGAAAGTGAAATTTTAAACTAAACTGGCATCTGTTTGTTAGTAAAGCTATAAGACGCTGTTAGCATAGTTAGCGTACTGAATAGTCATTTTCTGGCATTGATACTTACACTAATATATTATCACAATTAAAATCGGTATGTTTTGGCAACAATTTCAATTTGATGATCCTGAAAATGAAAAAAAGACAACTAAAAAAAAAGGAAATGAAAAAAAATAGAAGTTCAAAACGAAGTGGCAACAACTGAACAGAAATTAAACAGAAAATCCAAGCACTCAATTTAAAGAATATTCGAATAAAACAACATCACCTCACCTGATAAGTTGTGGGGGCCATCCTTTCTCTTATCGTCCAACTCGTCTGCTTTACTCGCGCTTAGTATACTCATATTGTTTCGGATCTTTTGTTCCAACGAATTCATGGCCGGTATGTTTAGGGGATATTTACTATCGTTTTTCACCATCATATCAAAAATTTTCGTATCGACGGTGCTACGATTCACATTGTTTACTTCGTTCTTCTTCTTGTCCGAAAGTTTGGGTATTTGGAAATTTTTGTCCAGTGTCTTCATCATGCCCTCCATCATCAAAGCCGATGTATACGGTTGCATTTTGTAAATACTTTCCGAGTCGTTCGGTGTCGGGCTGCCTTTCGTGCGCTCTTTTAGAGAAGCAAAAACCGATTTTTCCGAGGAACTTTTACTCGGTTTCAACCGGTCCTTGCTCCTACTTAAATCGGTGGCATTGCTGAAACTCAGCTTCGGCGTTGTGGGTTTGGATGCCGACTTTAAAACTCCACTACTTACTTTCGAACTGCTGCCCCCAGGTTGCTTACTGGAACCACCTGAAGTGCTGGAGGTTTTCATGTTGGGGATATAAGTAGTGGAGTTTGGTATGCTTGAAGAACTGCTGCTCTTCTGTATCTGCTGCGGTTTTTTAGAAGCAGGGCCGCTATTCACTCCAGGTTTTAATCCAGTGTGGACTTTCGGAGAGCCAGTAGTGGCAATTTGCGACGATTTAGAAAAGTTGCTTTGGGCGCTCGAACTTGTATTACTCCCACTCACACTAACACTGCTTGATTTGTTTTCTTTAGTCCTAGGTTTGTTTATTGTTAGTTTCATCCCATCTGAACTAGTTTTAACCATGTACTCGGAGTTTTTTGTATCACCAATCATTTTGGCCCCGCCTTTTCCATCCTTACTTACAGGTTTACTGCTCGACTTCGAACTTAAATCAGTGGGCACGTCACTATGTTGGGCATTCACTTTAATATTTAATTTATCCACTATAGCAGACAGAGATCCTTTACGGTTCCTCAAAGTGTTGGGGTTGCCTTTTGAGTCCGCACTGGGCGAGGGCAGGGACTCTTGAGACCCGCCATCCAAGCTGCTTATGTTCAAGTCCAGGGGCTTAACTTTAATGGATGAACTAGATTTGGACTTCAAAGCCCCACTTGGAAAAAGGCCACGATTTCTCTCCTTATCTCTTTCCTTGCTTTTGCTCTTTTCCCCCATACCTTTACTTGAAGGCGAATTGGCCACATTTTTCAAAGTGGACATGCTTGGCTTTCCACTACCACTTGCCGAGAGATGTTTCGGACTAGTTCCATGATGCTTCGGACTGGGCAACCCTTGAAACCCATGCTTAGGGCTTGAAGGAACATGGGCGGGCGAGTTTTTTGGACTAGAATTGTGATGTGAAGTGCCACAAGAACTGGAGGACTTGGGTTTCATTAGATTGGGGCTCAGCTTTCCTGACATTGTCATCGGTCTGTTAGATGTGGGCGATGGACTGAATTTTCGCATCAAACTCGGCGATGTTGGCGTAGACGTGGCGCACAAAGGTGGACTTTCCGATAGCTTCATATTGATGGAAACCGGTTTTAGTAGAGAATCTTGCTTCAGAGGGACTTTCTCTGGAGGCCCCATTGGGCTTTCATCGCGTTTCTTTTTCCGCTTCTTCTCTTTCTCTTCGCGACTGCCTCGGCTGCTTTTTCTCTCCTTTTTATCGTCATACTGCTTCGAACTCGAAGTGATTGGCGTAATTGTTATAGAAGTGGGCATCAAATTGGATGTGGCCTGCGTTATGGGGATTATTTCAATACCCGTTCGCTTCTCTAGACCTCCAGCAGCGCAGGTGGGTGATGGCAGTGTGGTAATCGGCGTAATACTCACATTGGGGGGCACTGCAAATTAACAAAATTCTAGCTCTTTTCCGGTGAAAATAACACAAATAACTCATACTTTTATCGCTGAGATCCGACACGACACTGCAACTGCTGCCGGAAGATGGCTCGGGAGCCGTTTTCCTAATTGGGTCTCTGTGCAATGTGGACAAGATTTCCTCCATGTCCACAGTTTCAGGCGGATTTGACGGAAATTCACCGGGCACTTTATCAATATTCACTAAAAAATCTGACGAATCGATGTTTGAAAATTCCAAATCTGATTGGGAGCTGAAAAGATTATTGGTTTTAAAAACAGTAATGGATGTTGGCCAAAAACGGAAACTTCAACATGCTCTAATTTTGTTCTTCACGTTTCCGAAGCTGAACTCGCTTACACATTTCGAGGCGGTTTGCTTGAAAGCTCACGCTAAAAGCCAAAACTTTAAAAACGACGATAACAAAGGCAGCAGTTTGCCAATTATTTTAATATTAATCGAATTGATCTTTACCCTGAAATTGGAGTTGCCACTTCGGTTTCCTGCGAAATAGGAGTGCTTTGCGATGTTGAGTCACAACTAGAAGTTTCCACAAATTCCAGATCCTCTAATCCCACCTTCCGCTTGCCACTGTTCCATAGGTCATCAGTGGCCTTCCGCTTGTGCTTTCTTCCAGAAATCGATTTGTCTGTAGAATCTGAAATTTCGATCTTCATTGATGCGGATTCTTACAATAAATTGCAAATTAATTACCTGACAAAATGTTTGTTATTTCAATAGTGCTGAGCACCCTAACGGAAGGTGGGATACTTTGAAAATTCGAAGCCATCAAGGATTCATTCCACACACCTTGCTGCTCCTGAAATGGTGTTAAAGAAATACACTCGTTATACACACTTATTAATGATATTTTTTTAAGTGTTGAGAGTATTCTATACTTTCACTTTTCTTATAAAGAGTCGAGACAGCCGAGTCAGTCAAACAACGCTTACAAAGACCGATCACCTTAATCAACTAAACTCTTGTCTTACCTACCTGTAGGTGAATTCGATGATGATTATGGCCTTGCGACCCATTGACGCCCGGCTCTTGCTTGATCTGATCCTGCAGCCCCCCGAATTCCGAAAGACCCGGACCTGCTCCGGGTCCCAAATGGCCGCCGGGATCGACGGAACCGAGGGGCAAACTAAAATTTTCCTGGCCAGGATAAAACTTGTGCTCAGCGGGCTGTCGTTCCCACATCTGGATAACCGCGCGAAGTGTAACCTGGAATAATGAACATGAAAATAATCTCAGTTTTATTTGTGGCCTCGGACTTACCGGTATTGAAAAGCTCTTGTTCAGCACTTTCGTGGCTAGTTCAGAGACAAGATCGGGAACGTTGGGAGGAGGCGGCGTGCCCGGATTTTGCACTTTACATATCAGATTGGAAATATCGGATAAATCAATGTCAGCCGTGGCCATGCATTCTTGCAAAGGATGCTCCAGCGATATGGAAATTTTTGTGGATGAAAGAGCGCTCACCTCAAACATAGTCATATTGTCGAAATCTGCAACAAAGAAAACCCGTTTAAAAAAACGTTTTCCGTAAAAACACCGCAGTTTACTTTGTCTACTGTTTGGCCTCACGCAGCTCTCAATAATATTATTAAAAAGTGCTTGCTCTCGAAGAATCATTAAAATCTTCGAAACATGCGCCGGGTGACTGAATGGTATGCTCGACACAAATATGCCGTTCATATTTCGATTTTCAGTCATACAATAGCAGTGCGTCTGGTCAGGCAATGACTGAAAAATATTCCAACATAATTCCACATCAAACTCAATCGTTTCTCACTTACTACAAATAGGCCTTTGTTGTTATTGCAGCTCATTTTTCCCCCGCTGCATTGATTTACAATCATATTCAACAACGGTTGCGGTGCCCTAGTCTCCACCTCAACCCACTGCTGGATTTGCTGCATTTTCCTGACTAACGAAACACACACAGGCATGGGCTTATTCAGTTTCAGGCTAAAGCAAGCAGGCACTACTGCACTATTTTGAATAGTTAATGGTGTATACGACGGAGTACTGAAAGAGTCAAGACTTATCTACATATAACTGCCTTCAACTAATGCAAGTAACTACACATTACCTTTTGCCATTCATACTTCGATTAATAGTGATCAAGGGGGTAGTTTGTAGCTTGTGAGCAACAGATCCTTCAATAGACACAGTTACCCAATAGCCCAAGCCTTTGGAAATAATGCTATCGATGCTGATGGCATCAATTTCATGCTTATCCACATTAAGCAAGTCATAGGGTGAAATGAAATAAGTCAATTTCATTGAGTGGCCACCGCGACGCTTCTCTAAAACACCCACTGGCGACTTGTGCAAAATATTAAACGGCTCCTTCATAAAAGTCTGCAATTGAGCCAAAGTGCATAAATCGATTTCCAGCGACTCCAAGGCGGTGAAAGCTTTGCCTTTCACTTTTTTCTCTGCGTTTAGTTGATAGATTGATACGAAGCCTTCCAATTGCGTTGTAAAATCTGTAAAATCCCCTCTTGAAAGGCAATTCACCAGCTCGATGCAGCTCTGCTGCTCAACTTTCCCTTCATGATGAATTTTAACATCTTTAACCACGCCTGTTGCTTCCAAAATAATTTCTAGGTAAAACATGTCAGAGAAAATAAATACGCCAGTTTTTTCGATCTCAAATCTTAATCTGGAACAAAATAAAGAACATTATAGCGGAATGATTAGAATCCTGTGTCCCTGTCTTTGTTAATTTTGGAAAGTCGATCAATTTGTTCTAGGGTTCAGGAAGGAAAGTTTTTTTCAGGGTTTTGCATGCATGGATTAAACCCTTAAGAAGGAAATAAGTTTTCCTTTTTAATTACAACAAATCGATGGTTCAAAAACAGCGCCCCGACGCTGTTCGGAATAGTAGACTGAAATAAAATACAAAGAGCTTACCCAAGTTGCCTGGTAAGGCTTTCCAATCTTTCAATCATGCTTTGCAGACCTGTAACTTTGATTACATGTTGCAAAGTGTCTAAACATTTTTGATGTTGGGTCTTTTCCACACTGTCAAGTGCATATCTTTTTTCCTAGAATAGCATGCAGTTTAGAAGCCCAGCCTCGCAATAGCCAATATTTCGAACATACCAACAGGGTCATTCGCACGTTTTTAGCTATTTCCGGAAGGGATTTCAATTGCGATGCTTTAGATCTTAGCTTCTCCATAATAATCTCCAGCTGCCAGTCTTTGGCCTTATCCCTGTTTGAGGATGGCATGATTGATGAGCCTGCAAAGTATCGCACATCTTCATAATGCTAAAGCTTTGCAGGATTGTAAAAAATCTCAAGGAATATTTTGGGTTTTTAGATGTTATTAAAGTTAAATTTTTGATACCTATTTATATCAGCAAAATGATTACTGAGTACAGCTAAAAGCTTCCACGGAAAGTAACGATGAAAAACGTGCTTTTAAATTCAGCGTGTTGGTCTAAATGATAATTTTAGCAATTTTTTGGGGTTTCTACTTCCAAAATGTCAAGAGTTCATTAGGAAATGCACGTAAATTTTCTAATCTAAAATACACTAAACACTCACTGCTCTGCATTATGTTCATGCTGTTGCTGTCCTTTTCCACTATTTCATATTAACAGTAAAATATGCATTTTGATAAAACTTTAAAAATTAAACATTACACACTTTTGGCTACTAAACAAAACATAGCCTTCTCAGTTTGAGGCATTTTTGACACTATTGACAAGGTTATTTTGACAATCACACCTGTTATGATTTGGCCACAGCATATTTAACTAATATACGTATCAAATGCATACGAAAATCTGAGAAAATGAGTTAGAAATACGGTAAAAAATATGACAACAGCGGGTTGTTATCATTTTTTAGCTCTTGACAGACAGCTGTCTGTGGGTGACAGATTCTCAAAGTCATCTGTTCAATTCATTACATTTGTTTCTCCCCCAAAAGGGTAAAAACATATATTTTTTAAATTCGGTGTGATTAGTCAGTGTTTCAGAGTGCAGGGCTGGTTCCGACATGTATCCGTGGTCCAGTCATTTCGACAAATTGCTTGGTAAGACGCTCACTACCCCTTAGAAGTAATAGCAAACAGAATCCAGTCTAATTGATCATTCTGTTGCATTAACAGCAGAATTAAGTCTAAAGAATGTTTGCTTTTCCAGAAAAAGCCACCAGTCATCTCATAATGGAGCCAGATTGGCCGTCCATCCTGCGAATATGCGATTTGATTCGGCAAAATGATGTCTCGTATGTATTCCTATAACATTTAACTTACATGCATACAATTAACTTTGGCTGCTATAGGAAGCATTGAGAGATACCGTTAATGTTTTTTTTCGTAATCTCTATAGTGTGTTTTGGTTCAGCTCAAAGAACAAAGGCGTAGCTACCTTAGAAATAACGTTATTTTTGTTGTAAATTGTCATCAGATTAAAGTAGTGATTCGTCGATTATCTTATCTGAGTATACATTTTATATTTGTTCAAAAATTGTTTTATCATTTCGCTTTTCTTGTTAAATACTTTCAATAAACACAACAGAAACTGTTACTATTTAGGCTCCTGTCGAGCAATATCAAGTGCGTTAAAGATTTTTCTTACTTAATGTCGAAGCCGTGCTTACCTTGGTTAAGCAGAATTGTTCTGGTGGCAACCGAAATATTTTTCAAGGTAATTTGCGAATGATTGAAACTATAAAGTACAACCGATTACATCCATAAATTAAATAGTATGTCAACAAAGTGCTTCATAAGAAGGAGCGTTATTTCAATCGCTTTTTCCAAAAATAACGTAAGTTCACTGTATTGGCGATGGCACAAAAAGTATTCGTTCCTAATTTACACCGTTTCCAAATGTAATTTGCTGCAAAAACACTGCCGATTTCTTTACATTATTTGTCAGTGGACAAAAAGTTTAGGTAGTGTTTTGACTTCTTCAATATCCTAAATCAAAGAGGAGGTACTCAAAACTAATAAAAATGTTAGAAATTATACCTCTGATAATTCGGCGTAGCTAAACGGCAGTCAAATCAAATCAAACGACGCAATTGTAGGCAACGACGTACCTAGAATGTGATCTGCACCAATAATCCTGATAATAACATTATTTAACTTAGTTTGAAGGTGGTGCCTTTGTTTCAGAGCTTCAGCTCTTTTCCTTATCTTGCGTGGGATGTTAAAGGTGTCTTGGTTATTTTCAAACTCCCATTTCAAGTTCTTCACATTTCTTGATGAGCCACCTTTATTTTGCTTTCTTAATATTTTTCCTTCTTTGGTACACGTTCTTCGATTGAATTATTCTTCTTAATTAATCTTCTATACAACTCACTAATTGAATTATTATTGTGGATTGTAGAGCCAAAACTGCTTTAGTTGGAGTAAAAAAGAAGCTAAACTCCCCCAACCCACATACTTCACTATTTGCATTGTCCTGTCTTGAAAGTATGGTAAAAAACTGCGGTAAGCATTAATTTTCCTACCAACTTAGTTTGGAATAGATCCACATTTTTTAACCGAAAATAAAAACAAATTGAACGGTTTTACAGGCGTTCTTGTCGCTGAAGAACTAACTACAAAAGCAAACTGTGAATTTTTGCATGATCTGGTCAAGAACACGCCCCATGAAAACGTTAAGCAGAAGCTACTCGAGCTAATTCAGGCCTGGAACTTTGCCTTTAGAAACAACCCCAAGCATGGCAATTTAAAGGTAAGACCTAATGAGAAGTCACATTTATTAATAAATAAATTGAAATTGAAATGAGTAAAGATAATTGCAGGAAACCCTACAAAATAGCGCGCGATGGATTTTAATTTAATAGGATCAACTTGGTTTCAGGATCTGATGGCGACGATGAAATCAGAAGGATACAAATTTCCAGTGCTCCAAGAAAGTGACGCGATGTTTTCAGCCGATACCGCGCCTGAATGGATTGTTGGTGATAGTTGTTTCAAGTGCAGATCAGAGTTTACGATTATCAATAGAAGACACCATTGCAGGTTTGTTACTTAATTTGTTAAAAGAAAAATTGGCATAAAATTTGAATTTTTATCCAGGGCTTGCGGTCAAGTTTTTTGCGGAGCGTGCAGCTCCAAAACGAAGACTCTTCCCAAGTATGGAATTGAAAAGGAGGTGCGACTAATCAATAAAAATATCAGCAGTTAGATGAAGAAAAATTCATAATTTTAGGTTCGAGTTTGCGATACGTGTTACGAAGCAGGAAACAAACCCGCAACTGTTCCGAAAACGCCTAAGCAAGGAGAAACCGAACTGCCTCAGGAGTATTTGAATAGTTCCCTAGCTCAACAAAGTCAGGTATGAGAAACATGTTATTTTGAATCATCCTGCTGCCTAAAAGATTTAAAATCAGTTTGACAAAATATTACTTTCATAGGAACCTCCAAGGAAAAATGAGGATGAGCTTAAAGAGGAAGAGGATCTGCAATTGGCTTTGGCTCTTAGTCAGTCTGAAGCCGAAGCTAAGGAAAAGGAGAAGCTTAGAGTAACACATGCGCTATTGAACAATCCCCCGAGAAAAGGTAAATGACATGAAAAAATTATAAAAAAATACCATGAAAAAATTACAGATTTGGAGCCTGCTCCTCGTCGCAGTCCGTCGCCGCAACGTGAAGATACCTCCAATCCGGAACTGGACCGCTATTTAAACCGTTCGTTTTGGGAATCCATTCAATCTAATGATCCGAAAGATCGGTACGTGTTGTATTTAAGTTAATAATGCTCCGATTATGAAGAAAATATTGAATATTTCAGGCCAACTAGCCCATCAGCCCCATCGCCAGCTTCATCAATTTTAAGTAACGAACCAAAGTTCAAGATCAAAGAAAATGGCACCGTTGATGTTGACTTAGAGGAGTTCATCAAGGCGCTAAAGAGCCAAGTAGAGATTTTTGTCAATAGAATGAAAAGCAATTCCAGCAGGTACTTATGGAATTTTAGCTATTATTCCTCATTCCTAAAATGGGCACATTACAACTAATTTTAAAACGAATTAACATTACTCATTACTTTGCAGAGGACGTTCCATAACGAACGATACTAGTGTGCAGTCTCTTTTCCTGAACATCACCAACTTGCATTCCAGATTGCTGAAATACATTCAGGATCACGACGATAGTCGATTGTATTATGAAAGACTACAGGATAAATTGACTCAGGTGAGCGAGTTGGCGCAATTTAACCAAAACGGGCGGGTGTTGATTAATTGTAAAATTCCAGGTAAAGGATGCTCGAGCTGCTTTGGACGCGTTGCGTGAAGAACATCGTGACAAACTACGGCGAGAAGCTGAAGAAGCGGAGCGCCAAAGACAATTGCAAATGGCCCACAAGTTGGAGATTATGCGAAAAAAGAAGCAAGAGTATCTGCAGTATCAGCGCCAGTTGGCGTTGCAGCGGATTCAAGAGCAGGAACGGGAAATGCAGATGAGACAGGTGAGTCGTATAATTTTTTCTGGTTGAAGTAGATCGGGCAGAGGTGGTGTTTTTCTTAATAGGAGCAACAGAAGCAGCAATATCTAATGGGCCCTCCGCAGTTTGCCGGCTATATGGGCTCCCCAGTACATGCTCCACAGTTCCAACCGCCCAATCAGCCTCCTCCTGGAATGGCGGGATATTATGGGCAGTATGGCCAGATTATGGGACAACCAGCCAACCCTGGACCTCCAGGTAAAACATCAGCGCACTATACATCTTCTTGTTGGCATTGAATATGTTTTTAAAGGCTCTGCTGGTCCTCCTCAAGGCCCACATATGGGCGCCATGCCTGCCCAAATGGGCGCCCCACATCCGCAGCAGTTTGCTTCCCAGCCGGGTGGGCCTCCACTCGCATTTAATCCTCCGATGATGGGGGTCTCTGCTCAAGGTCCTCCTGCTCATGGAATGCCACCGCATCCAGGTATGCAACTTCCAAATGGACAAGGTATGATATGAAATAAACATTGAGGAAGATAATAAATTATTTTAAATAAATATGTTTAGGCGCCCCTCAAATGCAGTATCCGATTCAAGGCGGTCCACCAGTGCACAATCTACAACAAGTTCCTTCAAACGGGGAGCAAACACAAACTGCAGAGTTGATTAGTTTTGATTAATAAAGATAATGTAATTGTCGCAAATATATATCCAGACTATATTATTACACTTGTTATATGCTGATATTAATAAATTCCTATGTAGACGGGATTTTTTTTTTATAACTGTAACCCATCGGGACTTACAGCCATGTAGCACAAAACTCCCCCACCGGGAATCTGCTTTGCCGTAACATACGCTCTGCCATCGGGGGACTTGTGGTGTAAAACTGGGCAAATTGGGCCAATTTTTGGCAGGAATGGGATCTAGAAACTGACCATATGTCGGCTTGATTTGTTAGAGAATTGGTTCCGGAATACCTCCTTGCAAATCATGTTGCCAAGAGATTCGGCAAGGGGACACAGAGCGGCATTTAAAGGTGGAGGGTGCTCAAATGGCCCGTGCAGACACTTATTTCGCACCTGTATTCTGAGGTATTGTGCATACTCGTTCTTTATCTTGGAGGTTTCTAAGTTGTCATCAGGGAGAGCGGAGAGTTTCCTCACCCATTCCAAACATCTTACCCGATCTGTTAGTTGATTGTTGGAATATGTGAGGAATAATGTGTAAAAAAATGAGTAAGTTTGCAAAGCTTTCTACATTGATAGAAGCTAATTATGAAGGTATTGTTTTTAAACTCGGAAATGTTTATTGAAATGCGTTAGTTAAATCCAAATTGGGTCAAAACAGCATTATTTCAACAGATAAAATATAGCGAAAGCTTCCAACAGCAAGAGTCAAGGTAAATTTGAGTGGTCCGCAACCACAAAATATCCCCCCAAATAGGGGGTATGTTCTGTGTCGGCAACTTACCAAATGGGGAATCTAATTTCACTGTGTGAGAGGAAATATCTAGCAAAGCATCTCTAAATTCTTCCGCATCCTTTGATCCCATTATTGCGCGTAATTTTAAGTTTTACTGAAATTTGCTGTAAACTTTTCAAAAATTATTTGTCAATATGACATCCGCCTTCTTATCAAAATTGCTGATTTTTTTAAGTTTTAGCTAATCAAAGATAGAGGGAGAAAGAGAGAGATACATCAGCGCAGAGCAATGAAGCCAATTGTACAATTTTATTTATATTATTTTATTTTCTTTCAATATTTTAGTGAAAACAATTTTCGATGCTAACTGTCCAAAAATGCCCAATAAATTCATTAAGTTGCTTTATACCAGCGATTAGTAGTCCACTAATCTCTGTTTATAGTTGAACTAAATAATTATTATTGAATATTTCCCTCTCTCTCTCAGGCAACGCAGAGTTTTTAAACCACCAATGGCAACATTGCAAGCCACCCCTCTCCATCCAAAAAAAACGTCGAGTTGTCTCTGGTCGCCATTTTATATTCTGACTTTCAACAGTACAGTATTGTTGAATTTACGATTCGGTTTTGAACCGTAACTTTTTTTCTTTAACTGTTTCAATTAGAGTGGAATCATTTCGACCTCACACGAAATGAGTTACGGCAGGCCTCCGCCTCGCATCGAGGGCATGGTCTCTCTTAAGGTGGATAATCTGACCTATCGGACGACTCCCGACGATTTAAGACGCGTGTTCGAACGTTGTGGGGAAGTTGGAGATATTTACATACCACGCGACCGATTCACCAGGGAAAGCAGAGGCTTTGCTTTTGTCAGGTAAGTTCTAATAACTGAAAATAAATGTCTGGATCAACCAGTTTCTTACGCTGATTGACAGTTTCAAAATGTTTTCTTAGTACCTATTATTGAAAAAGAACCTGCTCAAAACATGTAGTTTGTGGCTCAAATTGAGCCACGTTGAAAGTTCACGATCAAAAGTTTCAACGTGAAGCAATCAGGCACATTTTCTCTACAGCGTTGCTATTAACTAGAATTTTTATGTTGTTGGCATCATATGCCAGATGGGCTTTCCCTAACAATAATTACAAGTTGCAAGGATTTTCAACCACATTTGGAAACGCTGGCTTTTGACCGGATCTGTGAGTTGATGGTGTTGCCAACGTTGTCTCGTTTCAGCAATTGATTTGATGATCTCAAGTTTTCAACATTTCAAAAACTAAAACCGGTTCCATTTGGTAACGTAAAAACCGTTAAAGATTAACCGCCTAGAACAATTGGTTATTTTCTAGTTCAGCAGGCCATGGCGTTTAAAGTTAGCAAACCTTATTTTTTTCATCTTTAGATTTTTCTTAGTGGTTTCGCTGATGAAAATGCAGTTTTCGGCCATTTCTCGCTCATTAAAATTAACAATATTTTCAACAACAAAAGAAGCCATCTTAGCTTGCCTTTCTAACCCTTTCCACTACACCGATGCTACGCAGGCAAGAATCAATATTGTTTATATGCAGATTGATGTTTTTATATTTCAGTAAATTTTCAAAATATATTCATGGCATTGCAACTTAGAAAAACTCGCGTCAACTTCGCAACAGATTAAACATCCAGGCTTCCGCTGTTTAAAAAAACAAACGTATTTCTAAATATAATATTTGTTGTAAGGTTTTACGACAAGCGTGATGCTGAAGATGCGTTAGATGCCATGGACGGTCGCATGCTGGATGGAAGGGAGCTGAGAGTTCAGATGGCTCGTTATGGCAGGCCTACTTCGCCACATCGACGTTACCGTGGGGGCAGAAGAAGGTAACCATTTCACGAGATTGGACCTAATGATCGAGAGGTTTATATGATTTGCTTTTTTTGAAGATCGCGTTCAAGGTCTCGTGGAAGACGCGATAGTAGGTCTCGCTCCAGAGGGCGGAGATCAGCAAGCAGAAGCCGATCGAGGTCGGGCAGCAAGAGCTCAAGGGGAGCCTCCCGGTCTCCAGCTAGAGGTGAGAGGGACAACTCGAGATCAAGAAGCAAATCCCGCTCCAGGTCTAGGTCATAAGTGAGTATCAAATCTTAAACAAGCTATAGTTTAGTTTGTCCCAAACCTTTTGGCATTGACGTCATTATTTGAGAGGACATATTGAAATTTACCTATTTGCGAGTTCAAAAGTCCAGACGCCCCCTAGTATAACTACAAGTTAAGTAGTAATTTGGCAGTTGTTTTGTTCACATTGGTGTTTACATCTGATTATGATTTGTTTTGTTCTGTTCTAATCAACTTTTATGAGCCTTTAAAGAAATAGAAACACATCGAAAAGTGTGTAAGTCTTGTTTTATGTCATAATTGTCATCAACTCCAATCAATAAACAAGTCTGAACTGTCTCTCGACATCGAGTAATTTGACCTTTTGCAGGGCCATCGGTGGTTGAACTCGTGAATTTTCGGAAGATTTTTTTCGTATTACTTGTTTGTCAGTTGGGCGTTTCTTAACCGTGATCTAACGATTTTCCTTTCGGTTGAATCAGATATTACTGTCAAAGCACGGCATTAGACAATCTTTAAAGTACTGTGTTTATTTTTAATTGTCGATGAATAAAAATTGGCATTAGTATTGCTTTTTTGGTTTGCTCTTACTACATTCCTTAAATATTTTCTAAACTAAAACTTAAACAAAAATAACTAAAACGACTTGGAAACATTCACAGAAACTATAATAATTCAATAATTTTCATATTTTTTCGTGCGTCTGCGAATTGTAACAATTTAATAGAACCCAAACGTTAAAACATCAAATTTCCGTTTCGCTCAGTGGACAAGTAATAGAAAAAGTACGACTATTTGCGACGAATTATCACTGCCAAAAAGCTTGGGATAGACGATTCTTTTCTAACAGGTGTACTGATTTTTAATTTTTATTTTCAGATTTTGTCTGAGTCGGGGAGAGAGTCCGGTAGCCTGTAAGCAGCTCCTGCTCTCTGGCAAGGTATTTTATTAAGAATAAGTTATATCTCTCTCTTCCCATTTAATAATTTCACTTTTAACTAAGACAACGCTTGACCGATCCAAAATAGATTAGTGCAATCAGGAAATTTATTTTAATGTTTCAAATAGGTCTACATTTTGTTTTCAAGTAAAGTTACAATATATGTTTGTCTAAGTACAGTAAATAAACACGAGTCTGTCATTTGGTACTCACCATTTTTCATTAGGAGTTAATTACATTATTTTAACGGAATCTGCTTTCATCTAACATAATGGAATGCGATAAGATACCTGTTTGTTTGAGTTATAACCGAATTCCAGTTTGTTTCAAGCGTTATCTGTAAGATGCCCAGATATTTCAGTAATTTTTAAAACTAGTTTTCAGCCTAAATGCGACTGGAATACACATTTTGTATGCAAATCCATGTCAGTTTGGACTGTTGAATGTTACCGGTATTTTCATTTTGTTGTGTCAGATCTTGTGCAACACCGAGTTTAGTAGCTTTTTGGCAATTATTGATTTATCCAATTTTCGATTTAATGTATTGTGTTCCACCAAAGGATTTATCAAATCGAGCCAACACTTGATAATAAAATTAGAGCTTTTCAAAATTATTCACGTATTATTTACTGTTGATGAAGTGTCCTACTTACTGGGTAAAAGATTCAACCGAACCATATTTACTGATATATGGAGTAATAAACGTTTACAGCAAGTTGAATTATTTGCCCTGTTGTAAACGCGCAAAATCCACATTAGATACAATTAGCCTCTCCACATCTTATCAAATGTATCTTAAAATGTTAACTAACGCCTCTTTTATGTGGTAGCAGGCGCAGAGTTGGGGTTTTGCGGTAAGATGTTGGCAGTTGGTGTTTGAGGGAGCGGAGATATGGTGGCGAGAGAGAGAGTAGCTGAAAAACGAGAGCGATCTAGAAAGCGGTAGCGGAACGAGCCTGCGTGACATTGGCTGGATGAAGGCGCTGTCTGGCCAGCCAATCGAATCGCATCGTTTGGTGCCGTTCCTGACACATCTATGTGCAGCTCCTGCTCTCGAGTCTCTAGCCCCCCGAACGAGCATTCCGGTGTTTCGCTTAAATCGAGACAATGGCTTGGTTGAAGGTCGAGCACAAGTTTCACGAAAGTATTGCAAATCTTTTTAGTTACGCATTTCATTTAACAATTGCATACCTACAACGGAATGTCATCAGGTAAGTTTCTTCGCTGAGCTGAATGTTTTTATTCTGTAATTTAAAAAAATTCTGCTACTGAAAATTGAAATGCGTGTTCACTTTAAACAAGCCATGCCGTGATTGGTTAAGGTAAAAGTTGCCAATTTCAAGACGTATAAATATATTTATTCCAGGAGGCCCTAGGTAGGTATGTTTTTATTATTTGTAAAAACGCCCTAAATGTACTTTAACAAAAGGACTGTTGAAGATCAAACGCCTTTAACTAGCCATCTTTGCGTTGAGTCAGGACCAACGATCAGGCATTCATTTCAAGACCACAAGGAGTTTATGGGCGGAATTTTTATATTTTCTAATTATCACAACTCTTTCAGCCTACTAGTTCGTCTGGATCGGCCCTTGGTAATATTTTGTATATACTGGTGTCGAGTGAATAAATCTTTTCCTGATCACATGCTGATTATCATTACGTTACCTGAAGGTAAAACCTGACAATAGTAGGACTAGTTAATATTTCCAATGTTAGAAAAAGGGGTAGGAAAAATAAGTACTAATGAAATTAAATTGACTGCGCTGGAAAACACATTTAATAAAAAGTAGCTATACATATTAATTATACACGGATCTAAACAAAATAGCGATGTTACTGTTAACCTGATGTCTAAGATACTATCATAATCATCGTTGCTATCAAGTTAATATATAGGTACCCTACAATTGAAAATGTAATTATTTAAGCAATTTTTAAGTTGGTTTGGGACCAAGACGAAAAGTAACCATATTAAAAATAAATACTAAAAATTCTGAATAAAAACTAGATATCCGCTGTATTAAAAAACGTGTCCAAGATGTGACAAAGCCAAGCGTGAAAACGTCCGCTAAATGAATTACCCTCGGTAATTTAATAAGATCTATGGAATGGCGATAACACATTTACTGTTCAGAATTGTTTTAGCGCTTGACCAGGAAAAGTACACGGATATTGAGAAACTAGTCTACCAGTATCAATGATATTAATCAGATACTTTGATTATGGCATTAACATTGTTTGGAGCCGGCTGCTCTGTCTTCATTTCTGGCTGGGCTAGAATTTCTACATATTCGTATTCGGTATCATCAATATCTTCAGCGCGGAGATGAGTTTCTTCATCAGTTTTCTGCTGCGGCTTGTTCGGGGATGTTACAGTAGTTGGCGCAGAAGTGGACGCTACAGGAGATTCAACTGGCGTTTCGGGTCTGAAATTTCAAATCAATGACTTGAAGAAAATGTGCAAAACCGCGGAGAAACCTACTGAGGAGCCGCTGATTCCGGTTCAGATACGTTCTCGGGTTGAGGAGGTTCTTGGGCAGCATAAGTGAACAAGAATCGGCGCACCGGCAGTTCCTGGACAATCGTAGTAGTTGAAGTAGCAGCTGGGTATGGAGGTGGCTGTTCATCCATTACATCCTTAAACGATATTCGTTTGTTTCAACGTCAAAGGTAAAGGGTTGATTCAGTTAAATTTCCCAGTTCGTCTGGGGTTTCGATGTTTCTAATTCTACTGCAGCGATATCGTTCGGTTTCACTATTGTAATTCGACTAAGGTGTTTGATAAAATGCAATCAAAGATCAGTTTCCGTCCGAAACATCTGATCATCAAACAATAGTTATACTTCGAAATAAGCGTGTTTTTCCTGAAATTGAAGAAGTGAAAGAAAAGGACAGGGACAAGAGAGAATCGAATGGACCGGATCTGGGTTGCAAGTAGGAGGCGGAAATACATTTATTTCAAGTCGCTGCATTTTTTCTGCTTTTCTCAATCTGCCCAAGGTAATTCTTCATATGCCATTTGTGCTAAAGAAAGCGGGCGATCACCTCTTTGAGCGCTCCCCTATCTTTTGCTGCCTAAAATATGTCCCGCAATGTTGAGTAAGTTTGGTCAAAACTGCCCTGCTTTTTACTTTAAAGGAGCACGAAGCGTTTACGGATCCACTTTTGATCTAATCTTTGCCGGTAAAGTATGCAAGCTAATTCCGATTACTAGTTTATTGTACCTGATAGGATGGAGGTGGAGTCTGTTTTAAAGGTCCCAAAGCGGCGCTTTCCGCATCTCGGAACATTGCAGTGTAGTCGGGATCGGTACGATCCGAACCCTCAGCAGGCATAATGTAATGAACTGTATTCATCGACAATTGATCCTTAACAGTTAGATACTTGCAACAGCGCCATACCACACCAATCCAGTAAGCCTGAACATGAATTATTTGATAAGAAAACGCAAAAGGCTTGATCAATGCGGCCACCCTTACCTTCCACATGATGGTAAGCAATAAGGACGTCAATACCAGAAGGTATAAATTTTGAGGACTCAATGACAACAATTCCTGCCGGAACGGCAAGTGTTGCCATTGCTCAGCCAGAACACGATGAGTCGAGCGGAAGTAGCAAAAGTATCCGCCCATAGTCAGACTGAAAGTAAGGCGTTTTTCTTCTAGTCTATTGTATTATCGACTGAATTAAGTACTCACGCTGTAAAGGCAAAGTCTAACAGCTGAAAGAAGAAAAATGGTAAGATGTGCTTGCGTACTCCCTTCATTACACCGTACACCATGAGAAGGGTGACGCAGAGGGTGCAGAAGGTCATCACCGTTTCTATATCCACATCGGCTAAATAAAATTCATTTGAAAAATGGTCCCAAACCCGATTTTTACGTACAGTTTTGCAGAACATTAAAAAATTCCTAGCATTATAATGTAACTTACTGAAATCTTCAGTGAATTTTTGGTCCTGGGCCGATGGTAAATAGTAAGGATTATCATCATCCTTCACTTTGCTCAGCGGGGTGGGCAAGAAGTCGGTATCAAAATAATTGTTGTATCTCTGAGTGGGGGTAGGGGCGATAGCCGAATTAACGGTGTGATTTTTTCGCATCACAAACGCCAGCACTGAGAGTGCCAAGACATGGAGCAGCTGAAAGCAAGAAAATCGACAAGTAGTCTCACTCGCTTATTTCAAAGACATAATCACAACGAGTGAAACTCACTAAATGGTAGATTCCAAACGCCATGGTGGCAGTCCTCACATGGAGGCAAAAACAACATCTCCATTCCTTATTGCTCGTAGTACCTAATTTAATACGCATACTGAACACTGAAAAATAAAATGTTTCAAAACATATGCCTCATTCTTTAGTACGTAAATAACTATTAAGCAGTGTATTCAAAAAT